TTGTGGACTAAGAAAAATGGAGGCTTTCAAAGCATCTGTATATTGCACAGGTGACATAGCTAGAAAGTAGAAGAAGCTGCAGTCAGGTCTAGCTGACTGCAGAGATGAACCTCTTTGGGCAGAGACACTTAGAAGAAAATGCATAGGCACAGTGGGAAGTGAGGGGTGAGTCAGTTGGCCAGGATATTGGTTGTTTGTGCTTCCTTTAGCCATCCCAAGAAATCTCTTCTCCCTCCTCTGCCCACAGCCCTAAGGTTTACTTAGACTCCCACACCCACTTCACACTCTACCTCATGCTCATCCCCACCGTCTGGGAAGGGCTCTGGTCCTCAGAAGTGACACGTGTACCCCAGGCCTGCGCTGATCAGCAAGTTATCCCCTGGCCACAGCATATGCTTGGGGTATAAGGTGATTTGAATCTATCTAATCAGAATGCATCTCAGAGCTCCTGGACAAGACTCTGGCACTTTGCTTCTAGACTTTAACCTGGATGACAGGAGTCTGGGGCCATGGCAGTTCTTTCACCAGCAGATCCTAGATCTGCCAGGACCTTACACATGGACTTAAAGAAATACCCAACCCAGAGGCGGGCAGCACCCACAGAATGTAGTAATATTGTCTAACCCTGGAAGCCAGCTGTTTCTAAAGCTAGAGCTATCCTGAGTTTTTAGTGATATGAACCAATAAATTCTATGCCCCTTTTTAAGATAAATTTGTCTACATTTTCTGTTACCTGCAAGCTATTGTAGCCACTGTAGGAAAGCATCTGCCTGTATGAATGACAAAATCGTCTGGATGAGAATCAGGAGGGGAGAGAACATCAGAACCACCCACATAACAGAGAGAAGTTTCCTAAAACATATCATCAAACTGGAGGAGAGGCAAGATTTACTCCTGCCTAATCAATAATTCTAACTAACCAAATGTCTGAACATGTTATTCTGGAGAAACTGAACATTTACTAAGTATGGATTTGTTTGGTTGACAATTTAAAAGGAAATTTTATTCTGTCATTATTCTGAGTCAGAAGCAGAGCAAGTTCTTTTTTTTTTTTTTTTAAGATTTATTTATTTATGCATACAGAACTGGGTACAAGCCAGAGATGCAGGGGCAGTGAGAGGCTTCACCAGAGACAGATCAGGGAGCAGAACAGGTAGATCAGTGAAGTACACTGCTGAGGGGAGCAGCGGGTGGGTCAGGAGATGTCTGCTGTGCCATGTGGGTCACCTTTGGGGACAGGGATAGAACTTCACTGAAGCAGCTGCAGTTAGCTTGCAGTGCTGCATCCTATTTGCACCACCAGGGAGGGCCCTCTTTTTGTTTTTAAATAAGGAAGGAACCAGTGCCCTCCCTGATGGCGTAACCAGTTAAACTGCAGCACTATAAAGCTATTGAAGCCACTGTAGCATGAGTTCAATCCCCAGTCAGGGAGCTGACACACATGGCACATCAGACCTCTCCTGGCCCACCCCTCAGCAGTGTATTTCAATCAATCCATCTGTTCTGCACCCCATTCTATCTCTGGTGGATCCTCTCACCTCTGGTCTGTACCCCAGTACTTGTATGCATAAATAAATAATTTTTTGTTAAAATAAATAAGAAAGGAACCTTGGGCAAAGACAATGGGATTTGAAGAGTTATATTAAGAACATAATAAGAATGAAGGTTTAGAAGAAATGAAGAGACAGTATAATGGCCTCAGAGCCTAAAAGGGAAAGCGGCCCAACAGACAAGGGAAGGAGCAATTCCTAAGTAGATGCTGGCAGTCAACACAAGATCTCCAGGTAGGGAAAGGTAAACAAGGCCTACTTGCAATTACTCCTGAATGGCTCGCAGCAGACAACACTTATCAATCATAGTAGTTTACCCTGATAATCCTGATCTTCTCAGATTATCTCTGATGCAGAAGAACTGAGCAAGGTAGGTCATTGAATGAACCCATCCGCCATCAGTGACCTAAGGAAGCCAGTGTAACAGCGCAGGGTTCTCTGGGAGACCAGGTTATGAAAGCATGTGAGCAAGAAATGGAAGGCCTAAGTCCAGAAAAAGGGGCCCAGCTGAAGGTTAGCAAGAGATAAAATCTAGAAGCCAAGATTTCCTTATTAAAAGCAAAGCAAAAAAAAAAAGAAGAAGAAGAAGACGAAGACGAAGAAGAAAAAGACAAGCTTTCTAATTTTTCTAAGAATTAAAATAACAGGGCAGGGCTTTTAAAAAATCTGAGAAACAGGAATCTGTTTGGGGAAGATGACACAACAAAAATAAAGCTGAATTCTTTAACCTCTACCTTTAGTGCCATATGTTCATCAAGAAGACTGCTTGTCACCATGCAAGTGAACTCTTTTGCCAAGAGACTGAAGTCCAAGGTGGGAGGAGAAAGGAAAGCCCAGTCCTGGGCATCTGAGTGCCAGGCCCTGCTGCTGGCACACCAGGGTCAGCAGGGAAACTGGAGATGGTCTCAGTAAACTTTCTGGGCATCTCAGAGAACATGAAAGAGGCCCAGAATATTGGATCCTGACAAGCAGCAACCTGATTTTCAAAAAAGGGGGGAAACAGATTCATTAACCATGAGACTGGAGAACCTTCCACCAACCCCCTTCTACAAGAGGCTGAATGAACTGCATCCCTGCAGATTTGAGAGCATGTAGGAAAAGCATGGGGGAAAGGCAAATAACAGTAAAAAATGGGCAGAGGCTAGATACAAGCAATTCACTGAAGAGGGAATACAGCCGATGAGCATAAATGACCACCACTATCATAGGAATACACACTAAAATAAGCAGACTCTCTGCCTAGGTAGCAGCTCACCTAACATGCAAAAGGTTGACAACACCAACTATTGGTCAGGCTTTGGGAAAACAGGGCGTAGAGGACAGTACAAGCTTCTTCAAAGGGCAAAGTGGTAGTGCAGACTAAAATTAAAAACACATTGTATTTTGACAAATTTGAAAGATTCACACATACAGGGGCCTCCCTGATGGCACAAGGGATTAAGATGCAGCACTAGGAAGCTGTCTGCAGCCACTGCAGCATGAGTTCAATTCCTGACCAGGGAGCTGACCCACGTGGCGCAAAAGACCACTCCTATTTTGCCCGCTGCTCAATCTCAGCAGTGTATTTCAGCACATCTGCCTGTTCTGCTCTCCACTCTGTCTCTGGTGAATCCTCTTACCTCTCCCCCCACTATCTCTGGCCTACACCCTAGCTCTTGTATACATAAATAAATAAATCATGTTTAAAAAAAGATTACACGTGCAGAAGCCTGTACACGGTTTCCCATTACAAACTATTTATAACAGCAAGAGATTAGAAAAAATAAACTCCAAAATTTGGCACAAACTTAAATATATGATGGCACATCTATACCATTTAATACCACACAGCAGTGAAAAATAAGGTTGAATCATATACACTGATACAGAATGACTTTCAAAAAGTTATCATCCATGTGTTAAAATGCACACATTTATATATTCTAAACCTGCATGTATGTATATAAATGAACAGAAAAGTCTAAAGGATCCCATTAAACTGATAGAGATTTCTGTAGAAGGGTGAAAAGGATATATTTGTCTTTGGTTTAGCATTTAAATAAAAAATGTCTTCGTTTGCTATATATAAACTTACACCGAGTTATATTTAACTATATACACATATGTACAAATATATAATGAAAACAAAAGCAACTGGGGAGCAGAAGCATTAGGGACCAGCAAGTGCAAGATGTGGCAAGACCACCCAAGTTGCCCTGTCCTGGAAAGACAAAGGAAATGTCACGGTGAACAATGCCTGTAGACTAATGGTAGAACTTCTCCTATCACCATCACAGACATGACAGAGAAATTCAGGAGGTAGAGTCACACTTGACTGAATATCTACAGTTAATAGTTATAATTCTAGGCCCATGTGGAAACTGCCAAGTCTTTGATCCTGTCATGGTCAATGCAATCATTCATTCTTTCAATCTCTCACTCACTCGCTCACCATTTCTGTAGGCGTCACACATACAGAAAATACCATCGAATCGATCCCATCCGAGGGTACTGAAAGGTGCACAGAAGGGAAACGACAACAAACCAACATGACAAATGTCTGACTGAGGTATTATAGACGCTCCGGAGAGTAGGGCTGGATACCAACCTGGGTCACTAGCTGTACCAAAGATCTGTTGGCATCAAGACAGAGACTGTGAAGCTAGCAAGTACCTCTAATACCAAAAATCACAGACATGTGAGTTGGAAAAGTGGACAACTTAAACACATCGTGGGAAATCCATTTGCAGTCACTGATAAGCATACTGCCTTTAGGCTCCTGGGCCACCCTCTTGTTTCAAGCCTCACTAAAAGAACAACATTTTAAACTATTCTGTGCAGTCTAGGGAGAGCAGAGTGTCTCTACGGCATCTAAACAGAGGATCCAGATAGTGAAGCATGAGGCCTGAGTCAGAAGGCTAACGCACACCCTGGCCTTTCCAGGGCACCCTACTCCCAGCTCCCCACCTCCACTCGTATTCCTCCTCCGCTTCCTCTTAAGGAAGTGCCAAGAGACTCAGGACTATTTCGGACCCTTGACGATACCATGCTCGGCCCACCTGAGAGAAGGAGCAGCTGGAAGGTGGCTCCCAGGTTGGTCCCATGCAAGATGGTGGGCAGCCTGTGTCACATTTTTGGTGAGCAAGGTCTTGCCTGCCCGTCCTCCCCACTCCCCAAGATGGGGAGCACAAGATGGTCCCCTTCTGCCACATATCAAGAAGAAAAACTGAACACACACATGCTACTTTCCATGACCAGGTAACATCAGGGAAGCTTCCCAATCTGACAGGCAAGATGCCAGCTCTATGTGCCGCCTCCTCCTGGAAAAGTTCATAGTTAAAAAGGAACTTCAAAGAGGGCAGTGCTTAATATGAGTAAATGAGCAGTAGGGCTTGGGACCCAAGAGTTCCTATGCGAGCCCCCATCCTAATGTAAGGCACTCTCTGGCAGGAGCCCTCCCTCAGGACTCACCTCTTCAGTGATGATCGAGACAGCACCTGTGCGGCCTGGTTCATGGCCCTCACCCAAGCGTTCATGTCCTCCAGGGTGTCGGCGCTGAAGTAGTAGGTCCTCATGCCTGACTGCTCCGCTTGAGGGCCCCCTGTGGAGCTGTTACCGATGAGCGCTCGCATCCCTGTGTGCACGGCCTGGAAACAAAGAGATGGAAACCCAGGTCAGACAGTTTAGGGAACCCTCACTTCCAGGAGCAAAACCAAGGAGACAGCCTGGCCAGACTAAAAGCCCAAGCACTACCAGCCTTGTTGACACACCTGGAAAACATCATACCTTGGGTTCCCCTTTCTTTGTGTGACAGCTGTGTCTGCTCCCCACACTAAAAGCCACACAGCTGTACCTGCTTCCTGCTTATTTCTGCTCAGGGAGGGGAATACAATTAAGGCTTGTGTGAGAAGCAGACTTTAAACTTAATCCTCATTCTGTAAAAGCAGCTCTCAGGAATCCCAGGTTCAGTTCTTCTGAAAGTTCCTAGCACACAGATCTCTGCTTCGGCTACTATCAGACTGGAATTGAGTCAAAGTTGGCTGCAAAGGCAGGTGGCTTGGTGCAGGTGCTCACCGTGCTTCACTGCTAGGGCATGCAATGCGAGGTAAGCCTGTAAAAGCAGCTGTGTTCTGTCTCTCCAGGGAGGTACTACAACATTTGACAGCTGTCTCACATCTGACTGAAAACACTTGCATGCATACCTACTGCGTGCTTGGAACCTCAAAGAGCTTTTTCACATGTCTCCTTGCAAAGACCTGGTGAAGAGGTACTAGAAGCGAGCTCTGAAAAGCACCTGGTTGGGATTGCAAACAAGAGGCAGCACCAGTTTTCCCCCTTTGTACCCTGATAAATAGAACCCATTCTTTTAAATTTGCCAGAAACAACAGAGGCATTCTGTAAGGTTAGGAGGAGGGAGAGGGATCCGGACAGGGGTGGGACGAACACAAAGGTCTATGGCAATGGAGTACGGGTGAAACGGTGGTGGGAAATTCATGGGGAAATCGCACGCTGTACAAAAATGAAGGATGATGCAATGAATTGTTTAAAAATAAATAAATAAATTTTCCAGGAACAACATCACCAAACCTACATGGGGAGGTGGTGTCGAAATAGAAAGCGTGACTGAGTGCCTAATACTTGTCCCCTGACAGCTTCCACAACCATAATCTCTCATTTTAACTCCAACAGCCTTAAGAGGGAGGGGCAGATTCTTTATTTCACAGATGTGGCAAATGAAGCTTGGAGATATTAAGTAACTTTCTCAGATTTGCAGGGCTAGTGACATATTCTTCACCCCTGGCATTGTTCATTTTACACATTTATCAATCTGTCTCCTTTAAAATATAAGCTCCATGAGAGCAAGGAGTTTGTTTTGTTCACTAGTGTAGCTTCCCGACCAGTGTTTGGCACACAGTAGGTGCTCAGCAAATATCTGTTGAGTGGATGAAAAGCTTCTGTGTACAATGTTCCCATGTATTTTCCAGAATCTGATCACGGCCCTGATAATGTGGATTCACGGTGAAAGGCTAACCTCATGCAAGAGCCAGTCAGAGGAAACAAAACGGGGGAACTGATTAAAAACTGCACAATAAAATGCTTCTAGAATCACCAATGATCATGGATGAAATCTCTCAGATGAGCTGTGAGCATTTACTTCTCATTCCCTCACTTTAACATCCCAGGTCGAAAATGCACATTAAATATAAACCTGTTTCTAACATTTCGCACAGCTAAATCCATATAGCCTGGTGCAAAGGTAACCCAGGCCCCAGGCAAACCTAATTTCCTTCCTTGTGTGTCATCTCACTGGCCCAGAAAGGAGTCTTCCTGTGTTAGCAAGGGACAGAGGTGGCAATAACAAAAGATTTTGGGATAAGCACTCCCTTGAGTAACCTAAGATGGTTTACTGAGAACATTTTCCAGAAATTTTGAAGGACTCTGCTCTGCTTCCCCCCTTCCCATTACTGATTTAGACAACTAAACATGAAATGCAGGTAAACCTGAACTCACCACGACTTGGGAAATGGACAAAGTATCAATGACCACAAAATTTCCACTGCAAGGTACTATTTCCCGGGCACCAGGAAGAACTAGCTGGTGCCTGGCTTCCTGATGAATGCTCTGAAGAGTCAGCAACCATTTTTTGGTGACAATGAGAACTGTGGATGCAGGAAGAAGGGTGGGTACCTAACCTGCCCCCTGGGTTCAGGGCAGACTGCCTGGTGGAGGTGACCTTTAAGCAGAGAGCTGAAGGACAAGTAAGAGTTGGGGAAGGATAAACCCAGCTGTAGCTGAAGGTCAAGCAAAAGTCTGTGAGCAAGAAATGTTCTTGGGCCTTCAAGCAACTGCATATGCCTGGAGGGAAGGTAAAAGATGGAAGGGGGTTAAATATCTATGTGGTTAGTGGTCCTCCCTGGTGGCACACCAGATTAAAGCGCAGCAGTGCAAGCCACTTCAGCATGAGTTCGATCCCCATCCTGGAGGTATCCACGTGGTGCGGCAGACCTCTCCTGACTCACCCGCTGTTCCCCTCAGCAGTGTACTTCATCGATCTGCCTGTTCTGCCCCCCACTCTGTCTCTGGTGAATCCTCTCACTGCCCGTGCACTTCTGGCCTGTAACCCAGTTCTGTATGCATAAATAAATAAATCTTGGGGGAAAAAAACTGTTTTAAAAAATGTGTGTGTGTGGTTAGAGATAAGCTGGAGAGATAAGCCAAAATCAGGCTTTATTCTGAAAGCAATGGAGTTTAAGGTAGAAGAGCAATTATATCAAAAGTACAATTTAGGAAAAGTATGAAGGATGGGTTGGAGGCTGCAAAGGAAGTAAAAGGCGGAAGCAGTTCAGTGGTAACCAACACTTCCAGAGCACTCACTACATGCCAAGCTGTTCTATTGATAAATTAGTGATCTAGAAGAGGGAGATGGTGAACAGAGAGGAGGACACGGTTTTGAGTTATAGACAAAATACTGAAAGAGGAGGAAAAAAGGACAGTTTTGTTCTTAGTCTTTTCTGATCTCCTAGTAACTCCCAAGCTTATACAGAAACTCTAGAATATAAATGCACACAGGCAAGGGGTGTTTCTCATTGTTATAGCTCCAGCATCTGTACCCTGTCAATTAGAACAAAGGAATGCAATAAAAGTTTGCTGAATATAAATAAATTAGTGAAAAGCCATGTCTCTCCGCTGGGCTTTAACCAGAATCCAGAGCAAAGGGGTATAACCTTTTGACAGTTTGGTGAATGATATAAACTCAGTATGTCTTGAAGGGCACAATAGAAAATAAAGGAAATGTACTATATTGAACTAGAGTTATGAAAACATTTTTTCAAAGATCTATTTTTATTTATTTATGCATACAAGAATTGGGGTCCAGACCAGAAGTTTGGGGGTGGTGGTGAGAGGATTACCAGAGACAGAGTGGGGAGCAGAACAGGCAGGTCTACTGAAAAACACTGCTGAGGGAGCAGCAGGTGAGACAGGAGAGGTCTGCTGGGCCATGTGGGTCAGCTCCCTGGCTGGGGTCAAACTCAGGCTGCAGTAGCGCTAGTGACAGTTCGATAGTGCTGAGACTTTAAAACCTGTGACACCAGAGACACTCTGACAGTACTTTTAAATGTTAAAATATACTGACACAGGCGTCATTAATAATATGTTACATAACAAATCTAGTAGCAGATGTAATCATTGTAATTTCAAAGTCTTTTGAGCATAAATGATAGTTCAAGATATATACAGCTATCATGTGATATGAAGATATTTCTGGTCTCCACTGGTGACCAAGGCACAGATGCTGCTGCAACCTAATGTTGCCTGCTTTCTTAATTGAGGAATGTTATAAGTTAAAAAAAAAAAAAGCAAGATGTGATTTATCTGCTGCTGAGGTTGGGGGTGGGGGGGCGGTTGCAAGCATCAGTCAGAACATCTGGTCTTCAGAGAGGGAAGCAGTAATGATTTTCTCCTCCATTAAAATGCCTCAGCTGCGTGGGGATGTCTGCTGCTATAGATGTTGGCTCTGAGGGGCAAGCTTGCTCGGAGGGGACAAACTGGGCTGAGCGTGCAATGAGGAGGTGGGCCAGCAGAGCACAAAAGGCCACTGGACATGGCAGGCAGAGTGGCCCCTAGAGGCTACCGAGAGGCCTGCTTGGCTCATCCGGGAGATGTGGCTGAAACTTGGGGTCCCCCCAGCACTCAGCCTCCCTGCAACCCAAGGAAAAGTGCATCTTTCACACTCAGGAAATCAGTCCTTTCTGGAGAACCAGCTGAACACAACTACATCTGTCTGCAATAGTTTTCCTGTACTCTTAGGCCCCAAGATCCCCCCCCCAAAGACATGCCTGCTTTCTGTCTCCCAGACAAGACTTCACAATAGTGAAGTCTTTCTAAGAAAAAGTCAAAAAGAGGGGGAATAAGAACCGAAGATGCATAAAAGATGTTTTCCTAGAGTCTATTTCACACCTCAGTGAAGTGTTAAGATGAAAAATATATATATAGAATAAGTTACTGTGAGGATATTCCAAATGCTGGCCATGGGAAAAAAAAAAATCACATACGTCATCATCATCCCAATTGCTTGCCCAATAGCAATGCTCAACCCTAAAAAGGAAAGTTTTCTGAGGAAGACTTTCTGCCTACAAAAGACCAATCTGAAACCCCTTGAACAAAATGTTTCCATAGCCAGTAATGTGCAGAAGAGGTTTGTGAATCACTGACTAGGACAGTACTCCCCCCAAATGACAGCAATATACATGAATTCAAATCATTCCCTTCAATGCATGTGCATGAAGTAACCAAAAGAAGGAGTGGAAGAAAAGCAGAGAAGAAGAGAAAGAAGTGTGCCCTGTAATGCAACTGAGATTTCAGGGTTGAGCTGTGTGACTTTGGGAAAGATTCTTAAGTTCTCTGCTCTCTGTGTACCTAATCTAAAAACTGCTAATGACAATGATTTTGCATTAAATAAAAAAGTGTGGATAAAAGTACTTTTCACATCGTAAAAGGAATTACATATATAAGGCTGTACTGTGGATGTATCACACAACATGAAGATACCAGCATCCACCGCCTGTAACAACTCTGGTGTCACTGGACATGGAGAATCAAAGAAAGAGAAGGACAATGCAACCTGAGATGAGTTGTCTGCTCAGGAAAGAGCAGTAGTAGGGAGATGAGACTAACCACCACCCCAAGGGCTCCGATCAGGCCCTGTTGCAGACTCACACGGTGGACGGGCCATGCCAGCACTCTCCTTTCACCCACACAGAATGGTGGGTGTCTTATCTCATCTTCTCCATAGCCCTTTAACTACTTGCAACTGGAAAACTTGACCTCTGTTCAACCTCTGCGTTAGAACCCACTGTCTGGCACTCACCTTCTACCACAACCTGGGAATAGCTGATCCACAGGAGAAGCGGAGGCAGGTGCCCTTTTCCCCAGTTGGAAATGCAAGTCTCAATGCCTTTTATCCTGAGCAGCCATGAGAGGGTATTTCCCCGTGGCTACTGGCCTTCAGGCCCACTAGCATCAAGCTGAGGTTCCAAATGCTAGTAAAGTCTACCTTCAAGCCACCCGCACTCGCCATCCTCAGAGCCATGAGGAAGAGCAGTGAAGAGGTGCGTGGAGACCCTGAGAAGGCCGCAGGCCTCCCCAGGGTTGGGCCTGACCACCACCTTCCTGGAGCCTCCACATCTGGCCTCACAGGTGCCAGAGGGCATTCAAGGACTGTCACTGATGACCAGGGCTCCACTCACTCCAAATGGCACAGGGACAAGGGAAACAGAAGGGGAATTTTGCTGGTGAAGTGATGTCTCTAGGATTCACCCATGTTCTAGAAACAAACCAAACTTGATTCTAATTGCTTTTCAAAAAGATAAACAAAGCCAACAAACCTTAATAATGTCATCCATATACAGGCTCCTAATCCCCAGCGCGCTTTTGCTTTTATAATATAATTGGCTATAAATCCATTATAGGGGGAATCATCATTTGCACTAAGAGACTGGATACCAGTGAGACTGACTGATTACAGTGCTTAAGAAAGAGCAAGAAGGGTTGTGTTAAAAATGCAAGTTCACGAATAGTGGTGATAGGAAAGGGGGGTGGGTGCTTGGATATTTAAGCAAGGCTGGGGGGTTCAAAAGCTCAGATAAAAATGAAAGTACTGGTAAGTAGAAAGTTACTCTTGTGAAAGAATGTGTAATTTTGCTGACATAAGCCTGAAAAGCTCTAGCTGCTTCACTTTTTAACCCTCCACACATAAATGACTGTTTTTATGAAGCCGTATGTAGGAACACAAAGCCTCTGAAGATGGATTTGCTGCACTCATGGAGAGGGGCTTGTACCTTAAAGGAATACTTGCGACTTATGCGGTCCTCAGGAGCCACGGGCGAGGTCACGTAGCTGGGCAGAGGGATGCTTCCAAGGACCACTTCTTCTCGGCTGTCTTTGGATGGAAAAACACATCAGAACAACCTTCTGGCACCTTCCTCAGCTGGTCCACTCTACTGCCCATGTTCAGGGCCCCTCATCTCTCCCAGGACTACCTCAATCTGATTGTTCCTCAGGTGCTCCCTGGGGACATTTCTTTGTGCTACTGCTGAAAATACACTGGTGGGTCAGACAGGCCCCCCTTGAGGACACAGACAGGCATGTAAACACGGTGTTTACATGAGTCGGCTCAACCTGCGAGCTCCTGAAAGAGCCCTAGGCCAGTGCTGTAGGAACACAGAGGCAGGAATGAAGTACCACCCTGGGAATTTGAGGCTTCTGAGGTGATATTTCAGGATAAGGAGCTGTATCCTGGGTGAAGCAAGCATCAGAGGTAAAGTGAAAGTTTGCCTCCTATGCCCATTCTTTCCCTCCTCCAAAACATCTTTATAAAAGGGGGAACTCCCTCACAGTTGGTGCTGTCACTCTCCCACTCAAAGGCTAATTGCCCACTGATACAACAAAGCCCAGCTTCCTCTACCTAGTATAAGCACCTTTCACCTCGTGGCCCTCCCCTCCTCTTGAACCTCATCGGCCATGAGCTTCTTCCACACTGGCACAGGGGTCTGTCACCCCACTTTCTTGTGCTCCTAGAAGTTTCCTCTGCTTGTAATGTGCATATCACATGCACACGCACACAAGCAAAGCTCTACACATTAAAATCCCAACTCAAAACACATCTCTTCTTATGGGACGCCTCCCCACATTCTCCAATGCGGAATTAAGTTCTTGGTCCTCATGAACATCCAGAGAAGCCACTGGATGTCTTCTAAAGCATCTATCAACAGTCTAGCCTTGTAACTCTTCTCTATATTTTGAGCCACACTTTCATTGCTGCACAACCCTAATTTTATGTCCTGGAGCTCAATAAATGTTCACACGGCCAACTTAACCCACTTAACTTAGTTGCCCATCCAATATCACAGACCACACATTCAGACAACAGATTACAAGCACAGTGGTTTCCCCAGACTTCCCATCGCTCTAGATTGTGTCAGAGGTGGGGCAGAAGCTGAGATGATGCCAGATACCCTAAGCAGCAGGCAAGCTGGTTCTAGCTAGTTAAAAGAAACAGGTGGAATTTCTTTGGCTGGGAATGGTAAAACTGGCACTAACCATTCACATATGTGAAAGTGAAGAGTCTGGCACATCAATGGGTTTTTAGTTGGCTCAGGCCACTGGACTTGGGAAGACAACCATTGCCAGCCTTCCCTGCCACCACAGCACAACGGGCGTTGGGGGCTTGAGCCCTGGCTCACCTTTGTAGTAAAACAAGCAGTAATCAGCCAGCACAAACCACCTCCTTTTCCATAGCCTCATCCCAGAACTGTCCTGCAAAGCAAAGAGAATGAGTCAGGTACTATCTGAGCATATTGTCCTCCCTCCCCAATCCCACACAATCTGATTCTGGAACTAAGACTTGCCCATTCTTTCTTGAAGTAAGTTAATGATTTTTTTAAATTATACAACTGCTCTTTAAATAGAACATAAGATTTAGATTCAGTGGTAATTTATCCCCAGGAAGCTTTTGTTTTCTGGAAATAGATTCATATATTACAGTATCTTTTTTTTTCCAGGAAGGAAGGTACAAATTAAAAAAAAAAAAGTTGGGGGGGGAGGGGCGACTTCATTATAGAAGAAATCACCTTTAACAAAAATAAGCAATTTATTTATGCTATGCTATAAAATACCTTCATTTATACTTTAGAAAACTGATTTATATAATAAAGAATAAAGAGTTTAAGTTAGCTAATTAACCAATGAGGCAAAATTCTCACTTGACTATAAACTCAGTTTCCTACCATGAGGGACTGATTTTCTTTCCATTCAATGTAAAGAGACTTGGATTTTCTTACTATCAAATTGTCTCATAACAAGAATCTGTCATTACTCATCAAAAATGTAAGTCATTACATTGCTAAAACATTTTAGGTAATTGTGAAATTTTTAATAAATTTCACAGAGTAAGAAAATAATTTTAGGATCAGTTCTCCCCTCCTCTCTCAACCTAGGACAAATTCAGAGCTGTTCTTAGTTGTTAAACTTAATTCTCTTCCTTTTATAAAAGTTTTTAACTAGCTTAAATCAAAAAATAAATCCCTGATGTTTCTAAACCAAAACACAATATGAGGTCTATTCATCTTCCATGTATTAAAATGCTAAAAACAAACTTGCTGAGTTCATGTCTTAGTTTCCTCTTCCACAGTGACACCAGATGATTGCTTAAGTTTTTGGCAAATGATAGTTTGCTGTGCTGGGAAAACTCCTATCCATCCTTCCCGAGCTGGTTCAAAATCACTTCCTCTGGGAAGCCTTCCCAAACTCTTTGAAACACAAATTCACACTGTGCCGTGTCCATGGCATGCTACACAGGTCTCAGTTCCAGCACTGGGCCCCGGCTGCTGGCTGGAAGGAGAACTACAACAACCTCTACCCTCTCCCCCCATATTTCAAAGGGGCCCTCTTGGTTTAAATGGGAGTGGGGATGCAATTCAAAAAAAAGTCAGAGGGTTACACTGTTCAAGTCAGACAAGAGATAGCTGAGGCAGGAAAAGAGGGAGAACAGAGCCACAAGGCAAGGGGAGGGGGACACCGAGTCAGTTGGGGCCACAGGGATCTGACAGAGAAGGTGGAGAGCTGTGGAAGCTGCCATGGGCGGGAGGGTGAGGGTGGCGGCAAACCTGGGGGAGGCAGATTTTAAAGAAACTTTTATGTATTTCTTCTGTGTGGTATGCCAAGTAGCGCCTCCCTCTGTCTTCCCATAAAGTCTTTAGTAAAATTTACAGCAGTACTCTGGGAAGTTGATTTGTGACTTCTTGGATGAGACATGTAAGAGACTGACATGTTAGGGATGTATCTCTGTTTCTCCGGCAGACTACGAGCTCCTGGGGCAGAACCCAGCTGTTACTCATCACTTCACACTGGCTGCGAGAGCACACAGCACATGAGAGCACACAGCACATGAGAGCACACAGCACATGATGAATGAGTGAATGGCAGGTGAGAAGGAATGAGAGAGGAAAAGGACATGGTCTCTGGCTCTGGGAGCTCACAGCCCAGCAATGGCCAGAGCCCAGAGGCAGGACAATGACTGGTGAGACGAGAGATGAAGGATGGTTTGTGGGGATTGCAGCCGGCAGGGCTTCCTGACTAAATGAGGAGCTGGTGTGGTGCTGAGGTGTCTACACGAGGGTCTGAGAGCAGTGGGACCATACCAACACCCAGAAAAAACAGGATGGGGAAAGCGAGAGAAAGGGTGAGGCAAGGATGAGCTGAGTCTGGCTGATGTAGAATCTGAGGAGCTAGGGTGTTAGATTCGTACGCCAGGCGGGGGGAGAGGAAAAGATGGAATTTCTCAGTCAAATGATAAGAAATGCTCTTCAACAACAGGAAGACGCACACTGGCAGAGGACTGGCAGTAAGACGGGACCCTTGCTGACCCTCCCACAGCAGGGCCTGGGTCCCCAAGGAACCCAGAAACAGCACCAAAGCCATCCAGTAGACGAAGAGGAAAGCTGGAGATGCTGGCTGCTCATTTCTGTGAGTGGGCAGTGTCTGCAATCACTCAGCATG